CACAGGGCCTCCACATTCAAGTTGACAAGTAGTAACAGCAGACACTGAGCGCTCACCTCGGGTCAGGCATGGTTGTGTGCAGTAAGTCACTGAGTCCTCAGGATAAACCAGTAGGGGTGGTATCATTATCACCTCATCATACAGTTGAGAAAACAGAGCTCCAAAGAGGCCGAATGCTTTGTTCAGGTTGTACAAATAATCAAAAGCAGAACTAGTTTTCAAACCCCAAGTCTGTGCTCTTAGCCATTAGAAAACAGTGCCTCTTCCACACTAAGGTGACACACACAAGGGCATGCAAAGAGGGTAAGAGAAACATGCAAGGTAGCCTTGAGTACTTTTGCACAGGCAAATTTTTTTCTTTGCTCAATATAACACAGTGAAACAACCAGGAAAAGGGCATTTGCGTGGATTCCCAGAATCCTGTTCAGATGATAAAATACTGACAAAGAAAGCTAGCCAACTGAGAACTTGCCTCAGATTCAAATTGAGCCTAAAAGGAATCACTTTTGAAGTCTTTTTACGTCTCAACGTTATTGTTAACAATACTATTAGTGATAAAATAAAAGTCATACAGAATCCCATTTCCTGGCTAAGAAAAGAAATGGAAATAGCTCACGTCTATGGTGGGGTTTTGATACGGTGAAATCCAGGAAACTGTGGAAATGGCTTAAGTGTGCCTATTTCTAGAAGATTTTGAGATCAAAAGTGTTCAGATAAGCATCAGCCCTTCCTAAATCCCTAACAGATGCAAACCATTTAGCTGAGATCACGATACTGCATATTTATAGCACACTCAGGAAAGTTCCATGTAATTAAATGCGGGAAACATAAACTTCAAATGGGAAATTATGTCACATGTTAAGATGTTCAAAATTATCAGTGAGCTATAGATAATGTAACATTGGTTTTCCCATTCAAAAGAGAGAATATATTTTGGATAATTTCTTTCTTTAAGCTACACATTAAAACAGAACCCTCATTAACTCAGTTGAAACACATTTAGATTACGTGATGATCTGGGCAAGAAGGAAATGGAAGCCTATGTCTATAAAGTCTAGCGAATGGCTAAGTAATGACCTGACTGGGTATTTACATCGTCCCAACATGAACAAATCACTAGCAAAGGCAATACTATTAGTTAAGCTACTAAAATAACTATGGTTTTAGATGAGGCAGGGTTGACAAACTTTCTGTAAAGAGCCAGAAAGTAAATACTGAAGACTTTGCAAGCTAGACTTTCTATCACAACTACTCAACTGTGTCCTTGCAGTGTAAAAGCTGCCACAGACAATATGTAAACAAATGAGCATGGTTGTATTCCAATAAAACTTTATTTAGAAAAAGCAACCATTGGGCCAGATTTGACCCAAGATGATAGCTTACTGATCGCTGATTTAAAGGGCACTGGATACACCCCAGGTATCCTTCCTTCTTTGTGTTTTCCCTGTCTTCATGTATGTAGCAGTAATACTCAAGAAATTGGCACGTCCACTGCCCTCATTTTACAAGGCAGAAACTCAGAGACAGAGAGTTCAGCAGTTTTTTCAGGATCTCACAGCTCTCAAACTGGAGAGGCAAAATTCAAACCCAACTGAGTGTGAACTCTGCAGCTCTAGAATCCTTGCTCAGTTGTGTTCCTAAGAATCAAATTTCAAGCAAAAAATAACAAAATTCCATTTCTTTAAAAGTATTCCATAAAATAGACTTTTTACAAATGCTTATTCCAGAGGCCCAACTGCTTATTTGTGAACACATGAGATTACTTTGCATTCAAATAACATTAGTCATTTTAGCACCAAGTGGCAAGGCCAAAAAAAAAATTAAAAGATTAAATCTTCATGAAACTAAATTTTCATTTTTCCCTTAGCACCTTGATTAGCATTTGCTAGGCACTCAATGAATAGAAGGATGAATGGACTTTGCAGTTCATATACATAAAACACGCCAGAACCCCTCCAATTGCTCAGCTCAGCTCTGTTCTATCGTTCTGGTGCCTGATTATGACATAAGCTGCCATTTCTGCCACCATTCATTTCCCCCCCCAAAAGTCCCTCATTCTATGATTTGTCCTGTTTTTCCAAAGTCTATACACGATGTTCTCAGAAATTGCAGCCATTTAGCCACAGATAGTTTATTTCAAGATCTTAGACCTGAGGGACAGTCACAATGGAGCTGGAGTGACAATGATAGATCATAAGCCTGTTAAATGTCTTCACTCGCTCCTTTGACAAAGCCTGTATGATGAGCCTCAAGCAACACACAAATACATGAGCAGGGACACTGGCAGAGAACAGAGGGGGAGATGGCCTGTGAGTAACAATAGACAGTTTGAAGTCATAAAGACCTTGGTTGACTCTGGGCTGGGTTGGGCAAGTCACCCAGCCACAGCCTGCATGGCTTAACTTTCTGAAAACCCTCAGAGGGTTTCTGGAGGATTCAGTGATGCCTGGTGGTCTCATCAGACCCTTACCTGATGCACAGCAAGTGTGCACCAGCACAGAATCAGGGAGGGGCCTTCTGATTTTACACCTGACACCTGACACCCTATTCCCTTTGTTTCTGATTTCCTTTTTCTAAACTCCACAAGGAGATATTTGCTTCCAAAGTCACCTCTTAATGATACAATTCGAAGGCAGCCACAGTTCCTTCACTGGCCTGCAATCAATTTGTAGAGAGAACAAACAGGCTGTCAGGGGTAGTTATGGTAAAAAAGTTTTTAAGAAAGTGCTGTCACTCCTCTCTTTGCTTGCAGTGAGCCCACCTGGTACTTGATGCCTCCCAGAGGAAAGCCTGTCTGAATTTCTTACTTTCTAACGCTAACTATTGTCTTCTTTGATTGTGAAACATAACACCCATGCAGGAGGGTGCACAACACACAATGGGCTGTTGAAAAATGATCTTGCCTGTTGTGTGACACCCCCTAACTCAAAATACAAGGAGACCATGCCTTGCCTCCCTGGCCAACCCCTGCCAGTCTGCCATATGCTGAGGCATACACCAGCTTTCCACAGAATACGGCTTTACTTGCCCAACTTTATGGATCTCTGATGCACCCATGTTGGTGAGTGGGTAGTTCCTCTTCCTCATGGTGAAATAACTCCATCACACCATATTTATTCAGCCAGCTAATTGGGGGTATCTGAAAGATTTTTAGGTTTGGGCAATTAAGAAACACAATGCCAGCTCGGCATGGTGGCTCATGCCTGTAACCCTAGCACTCTGGGAGGTGAGGCAGGTGAATGGGTAGAGCTCAGAAGTTCAAGACCAGCCTGAGCAAGAGCAAGCCCCCACCTCTACTAAAAATAGAAAAAGTATCCGAGCACTGTAGCACATACCTGTAGTACCAGGTACTCGGGGAGATGAGGTAAGGGGATTGCTTGAGCCTAAGAGTTTGAGATTGCTGTGAGCTGTGATGATGCCACGGCACTCTACGGAGGGCAACAAAGTGAGACTCTGTCTCAAAAAAAGAAAAAAACGAAACACAATGCCACAAGCATTCTTGTACACAGCTCTTGGTATTCTTATATCTGTGTTTCTCTAGGAGATGTGCACAGGAGTGGAACTCCTAGATTAACTTTACTAGACAGCCAAAGTGTTTTCTAAAGGGTGGTCAAACTAAGTTATCCTCTCATCAGTAGCATATGAAAGTTCCCATATATATGTCCTTGCTAACGCTTGACACTGTCAAGATTTCTGTTATTTGAGTATCTCGTGCATGCTACTAGATATTTTTTAAAGCTTTCTGAATGTAATATCCTTGGAAGATTAATACATAACACACACGGGCTATTTTTTAATTTATAAGTAGTCAAACGCAGAGATATAAGGGAATAGCGTGGTTGTATTTTTATATACCTTCCTATGCAATCAATCCTCCAGATTAAGATATACATTTTTATCACCCAAGAAAATTCCCTTGGGTTTCTTCTCAACAACTACCCCATAGCATCATGGGGTAAAAAATTCTGACTTTTTTTTTTTTTTTGCTATTCTGACTTTTACCACCATAGATTAGTTTTGTGGATGGACCATTTCCTGAACTTGATATAAAAGGAATGATGTAGGATGGGCTGCTTTGTTTCTGTGTAAATCAGAAGTTCATTATTTTTAATTGTTGTATCATATTCTATTGTATGACTATTCCACAACGTGAATATCTGTGCTCCCCCTGCTGGACATTTGGGTATTTCCAGTTTAAAGCTAGGTTACTATTAACCAAAGCTTGTAGGTACAAATCCTTTGTGGACATTTTCTCTGGAGATATTCGTAAGCATGGAATTACTGGCTGAGAGGGTAGGACACATGTGTAACACAGGAAGAAATGGGCACAAGGCTTCCTGAAGAGGCTGTGCCATGTGCACCCACCTGCAGGGTAGCAGAGTGCCTGTACCATTATAGATGGAAACCCTGGGGCTGGTTTCTTTTTTGACAGTGTATTTGTGGCTGGTGTTGCAACAGCAGTTGTGTAAGAGGAAGGCTACCCACTGCTTCAGAAGATGTTTAGAGGGGCTCTCGGTCTGGAGACACCTCCCTGTTACTCTTTATTGTAGAAATCTCAGTCGCACCAGGTGGAGTAAGAAGAAAAGACAAGACTTAGAGCTTCACAGATAGTTTTACTTGGCTGGGCAGGCAATGCACATTTGCAAATTTGTTTCTTCTCTTTCTGCAAGAGGTCTGGAGTGACTGGAGGTGTTCTAGAATTTGGTCCCGAGATTTGGCAAGGAGATGATGAGTGTCACAGGACTCGGGGAGGAGGGGCAAGGGGAGAACACCCCCAGAGGGAAGCACAGTGAATAAACCAGTCAGTAGGGGGAGCTATTTAATATTTCTGCAAGGAAACTGTTTATGATCTTGTCATGGTCCCAACTTCCAATCCTAAGTTTTGACAAAAAAAGCTTTCAAGAGTCTCATTTTGTGACATTAATAAAAGGGTGTTCTCAGGTGATTATTTGTTTTTTCACTAATAGCTTTCCGGTAACAGCCAGGGGAGGGAGGACAGGGAGAGCGACTATCCAGCTCTGGCCAGTGAAGCCTCTGCTCCATCTGAGGCGATTTCTAACCCTCTCACTCACATTTTCTCTGAAAGAGAAAGAAGCCTCCCTGTGCCTCACTAAAGCAGGACATTCATGGCGAGAAGGGGTTGGAAAAAGACAGACTCAACAACCAAATAATCACCACCAGTGAGTGTCCTTTCAGGAAAGAGGTCTTTTTTAGATGATTGCCAGGAGAGGAGGGCCAGTGTTTTGAGACCTTTGGACAGTGTGTACACGTGTACACCAACAGCCTGCTGGATTTTCCTGGGGTGAGTACTACAAAAGTAACAAGAGAAGAGAAAACAAAAACTTGAAAGAAATACATGCATGCTTTTAAACTGACATAGGACATAATGTAGGTTGCTTAACATGGAATAATTAGGTAAAATTACTTTTAAGACTACATTTCTATGCCAATTTACAAATGTGATTTTTTTTTAAAATGAGGTTTAAACAAATTAGAGCTAGACTAAGTTCTTAGAAACTAATACTCACATATCAGGGGTGCCTCCTCCAATACTGGCTCTTTTATAATAAAAGCACTGTAAACAACTGAGTCAACATGGAGGAGGGGGGGGAATCCCCAGGTCTCCCTAAATCTCCCCTCTCCAGTGGATGCTGGTGGTAGAGTGAATAAAAATCTTTCATTGGACACATTTCAGGGCTTTGGTCTATTATTTGAACGATAGGTAGACGAGGCCAGAATCAATGGCAAATCACCTCCTTCTACTCTATTTTTTTGTCTTTGTAGGTCCTGAGCGTCTAAAGATCGTGATTTACCTGGAAAAATGAACATATAAGAAATTGCACTTTATGTGGCCAGGAGGTTTCTAGCGTGGGTCTCCCGAGCAGCAGAGGAGCAGTAACTCTGCACTCTGAGCCTCAAACATACGTCATCTTCTCTTGCCAACGTAGAAGCTTCTTCCACACTTGCCCTGCCTGAATCCCTTCTTTGCTTAGAAATTTCTGCTCTCTTTAGGTCTTCATGGTCACTGTGCTTGAGACACCTTCAAACCCTCAAGTCCGAGTTAAGTTTGCTGCTTCCCACACATCAATGTGCTTAACCATATGTCTCTCCCCAGAGTCCATACACACAGGGAAGGTGGGTCCATGACCTTGACGCCCAGCTTCCTGGTGTACTTACATCAGGAACTCAACAACTGGACAAAATTAACCAGCACTGTTGGTAAGAATCTCTGAGCATTTTAAAAGTGGGGGAGATAAGTAGAAAATCCTTTGGGAGCACGATTAGGAAGGTGTCTTTGGGAGGAAGATAAATGAAGCTCTCAGGGAAGGGGAGCCCTGAGATGAGACCTTTCTCCCAAGACACGAGGAGGGTCATTTAGCTGACAGCCTGCAGCATCTTCACCTTAGGGGTCCATCAGAGTACATGCTCAGGCTACTCTTGCGGGGATGTTCAGCCAATGTCGATGCTCAGTGGAAAATAAGGGGTGGGGATCCTGCTAGCCCAGGACTCCTCTTGGGCAGCCTTTCATCTGGGGTTCTCCAACAGCCTGGCCAGGCCTTCCGTAGGAGAGAGGAAGGCCACCCTCTCTCCTTCTGCGGGTGTCAGACCAGCAGAGTGGTCTGAATACCCTTCCTGCCTAACCCTGCCCTCTCCCCTTTACCCTCCCAGGCAGTCTTTCCCTGCCAAAAACCTCTCTTGCACTTAAATTTCATCCTGGTGTCTGCTTCGCAGAGGACCCTACTGACCAAATGCCAACTATAGCTGGCGTAACCAGGTTACTTGCTGCTGTTTCAGCTAAAAAACATTTTAAAAAAAATTCTTCTTTTTTTTAAAAAAAAATCACTTAATGAGAAATTAACATTGTAAGATATGACTCCCAGAGCTGAAGAAATAAAAGCCATTTCTGAAGTGCAACAGAAATCCATATTGATTTTTTTCTTTGCACATCTCTATCATCATTCCCAAGCCAAAGACTCTGGGAAGGGCACAATTATTTATGTTCCTTCAAATTAACAGATCAGTCAAATTCCTCATAGAACCTTCAACTGAAAATGCTTCTAGTTTTTTTTTTTTTTAAACTATTTCAAATGTCTATTTTCTTCTGGAAGAATGATGAACTCCAACTCCCTTTTCTTCCCAATCTAAACAAAACTTACATTGGCTTTACTTCTTCTTTCCTTCCATCCAATTTTATACAGGGTAGCCATCACGTTTGTGTGCAATTTAAAATAGCGTGCAAATTAAGACTGCACACATATTGTATGGGCACCCTGTAATTTGCACTTTCACTAATAAATCTGTATGTTCACTAGATTCCATCACTTGGCTAATATTTACTGAGCACCTACTATTTGTCAAGTATAGTGTGCCACACAGATTTGGTTTCTTGCCCTCAGGAAGCTGATCCCCAAGTAGGTGATATATGAGTAAATCAAGAAACATGTCACTTCAGATATGTTTAAGCGCTCTGAAGAAACAAACTGGGGACAATGTAACAGACTGATGGGAAACGGGGTGGGGTGGGGGGAATGACAAGTAATTGAATAGGCTAAGTAAGAAAGAACTTCTAAGGAGGCAGGATCTGAACTGAGACTTGAACCCTATTTTCCCGCCTTCTCTAGGATTCCTCTTATTATTATTATTATTATTACTGGCTGCATGATTCACAATTATGAGAACAGAACAATTAATCCAAAATCCTCCTTGCTTCAGTTGAAGCCTGACAACTAGTTTTAAGGTGCCCTGAGAGAGGAGGAAGAGGGTTGCTAAGCTCTACAGAGTTGGCTAATGTCTAAAGACAATCCTCCCCGAAACGTGTGAAGACATTTTATCACAGCTGTGGAGATGAAGGGGAGATTTATTATGGTTACTAAAACTACTTCTGTCAATGTCTTTGGAATTCTAATTAGATTATTAAAACTTTGCAAATCATTGCTTTACATCTAGACTCCACACCTCAGTGAGACAAGAGTACTTTTGAAATTAGAAGATCCTGATGTCACAGGTAATGATGCAGTGCTGATAATGAAGTTGCAGGGAAATTCTTCCAATAAAAAACAGTTGGAAAAGACAGAACCCATTTATCTTACTTTCTCTCCCAGTTTTATGCTGAGGATAAGAGGTCTGCTGCACAGAACAGCAGCCTAACCTTTTCCATTCTAGTAGCTGCATGACATTTGCTCACATGCTGTGAAGTTTTTAATAATTTGTCGTGGTTATTTAAACCTTTCCCCTAAATCTGACACACAAATAATAAAGTGTATAAATGAAAAGACGATTGAAAAAAGAATATTTGGGGGAGAGAGATGAGACAAATGGCAAGTTCAACACATATGGATAGTACATCTTAGGGCATTTTGATTTATAACCTACGCATTTAAAGTGGTACCTGAAGAGAAACAAATTGCTTACTGTTCACCCAGACCCATTTGCAGGTAATAAATGGGCGTGCTCTTTACCCATCAAATAATGGCTGTAATGCCCTTCAACATCACTGGATGAGAAATGGGTGTCACCCTCTGTCCTCTGCAAGATAACCCAATTCCTTCAGGTAGAGATCTGCGCCCTTCGCATTCCAGCAAAAGGAAGTGTAAATGTCGTACTTACCATGATGGACGACGCCCTTCAACCCATGGATAATAGGATCCAGTGCAGAATTGTCCCTTGGACTGACCTACATGTAAAGGAAACATGATTGGTTCAATCTATTCTGGCATCAGACACAGCAGCCTCAGTTTAATCTTCTAAAGCGGGGGGGGGGGGGAATAGATGTTATCTAGCAAGCTGCTTGGGTCTCACATATACCACAGTGCTCACCAAATGCAGGAGATTTATGAGATAATAAAATCAAGTGAGGAAGTCTAAATCAAAAGAAAGAAACTTCTCAGAATACATTATAACAAGAGAGAAATACCACAGTCCTAGAAAAATCTTAAAAAGTAACTGCAAGACTTTTTTCTTGTTCTGTTTTATTAAAAGTAGGCCCTAGATGGGCTAAAAAGTCAGTGGAAGTCATCAGAGAGCAGTTCATCATTGACCACGTATTTCCACACCTCTGGTAACTCTGTTTTCCCCTTCTTTTGAGGAAATGGATCAGTTTCCTGCTGGCCTATTCTCCTTTGTAAGGACTAGTCCTCTGGGAAAAGTCACCTGCTCCTAAGAGCATTTCTGAGTGTTATGCAAGGTAAGAGATAGAACCTCCTACCTTCATTTGTTCTAGGGTTTTTAATCCTCCAAAGTTAAGTCACTTTGGTCTTGATCCCACTCATTATTTCCCTTAATTTGCTGATACTGATCAGCAGAAGTTCTCATTCTGGTTCTTTCTTGAAGATTTAAAATTCTATCAGCATATGACAACTGTGGCTTTGGGGTACTTTCAGAGAGAGAGAATGATTTGCAAATGAAACCAAATACCGGGGACTTGCTTTACAACAATCCAAGAGTGAACAGCAGAGGGACTGAGTGGGGTGCAGCTGCCACAGACTGTCCTTGAATCAATCATTTATGACCTTGGGTGATGTGTGTACAGCAGATCATGACATAGTTTACTTTTGTGTATGTTTAATTTTTTACAAAATATAGAAAGTTTTCCAAAATCCATCATCTGTGGTCAGCACAGCTCCTGCTGCCCGTCCACCTCCCACCCCAGGGATAGTGTTTTCATTGAATCTACTTCTAAAATAATGAAGTTGAGATATTGATAAAACTTTCACTGTGTAGCATGGCCCAATTTGATGTTTCCAAGTTAATTCAGAGGAATCCCCAGCCATTGCTAGGTTGAATTTCAATGTGACTGAACATTTTCCACACCCTTTCTTCCCCTTACACATTTTCCCTGCAGGGTTGCTACTCCCCATTTGTTCTCTCTGACAATACCCACACTCCTCTCCTCTGCTTCAGCCTCTCCAGCTAACAGCAGTGGTTCTCAGCTGGGGGCAATTCTGCCCTCCCAGGAGGACCATTTTACCATGTCTAGTGACATTTTTGTCACAACTGGGGGGTGGGAGGGGCTGCTGGCATCAAGTAGAATGGAGGCCAGGACTGCTGCTAGCCATCCTGTGACATTTGGAATGATTGCCCACAACAAGGAATTACCTGTCCCAAGATGTCAATGGTGCAGAGAAACCCAGGTTGGATGTTCTGTGAGTTAATAGTGATTATAGCCTAATGTCTAGAACCCTGAGTTACGCCTAAATTCAGAACACAGGTACTGATATACAACAATGTCATGTTTTTAGACTAATAAAATCATGTGGAATTTAGTACTACATTGTAAACTCTCAGATATGAAAAAACAAAAAAGAGTCAGTAGATGGGAGCCTAGTATATCAGATCATGAAGGTGGAATTCTGGGGACTGGCGGGAAGTGTAGCTCCAAATTGCCTGAGCCAGGGGTTTAACACAATGGTTAAAGCATGAAATATTCTGGAAAAGGTCAATGTACGCCATAGAATACACTAAATAAAAATTGCATTTCAGAAAATACACGTTTGCACCACTGTTATCAATTTGATCAAAATTCAAAAACATGATCAAGAATGTAAGATAAGACAATCTAATCTGACCAGTAAATATGGCCAATTTTTTAAAAAAGCTACAGTAGCATAAAATAAGAGCCCGGAGAAAGATTTCATATCAAATTAAAGTTACAGGCAAAAAGATAGTCTCTTTGGCTGGGTGTGGTGGCCCATGCCAGTAATCCTAGTGCTCTGGGTGGCTGAGGCAAAAGGATCGCTTGAGGTCAGGAGTCCAAGATTAGTTTGGGGAAAAGATGGCGTTGGTGTCCTTGATTCCTGTTCATGCCAGCTAAATTATCTATAGTTACTCTATTATCTGTAGGAGTCAGAAAAAAATGGCTGCACATCCCTCCCATCCCTGTCGAACGTACTTTTGCAACTTGACTTTGCCCTGCCCCATCAAGAGCATAGATGAACTTCTCCACCCTTAAAAACTGGGATTGTCCACAGGACTTGCTTTGACTAATGGAACATGAATGAATGCGATACAGAAACTGAAAACACTTGGATTTTTTGCAAACCTGAGACCAGGTGGAGAATTCCAAATTATCCTATTGAAGGAAGAATGACCACAGAGAGATGTGTCCACATGCTGAGGTTATTCTATCTAGACTCACCAGCCTGATAACCACCAGGCAGGTGGAATGGCACATTCAAGACCATCATTCTCGGCTGAATCACCTGCAGTCCATGAGACCAGCTGGGCTGACCCTAATGAGAACTGACCAGACAACTGACCAAATCATAAAATAATAAAATGATCTAACTGAATCACTTATTACAGAGCAAAATTTAACTGTTAGAATTTCTGTAAATATGTATAGATAAAGGATGGGCTATGAGATTAATATTTTTTTTGAGACAGAGTCTCACTTTGTTGCCCTTGGTAGAGCGCTTTGGCGTCACAGCTCACAGCGATTCTCTTGCCTCAGTCGCCCAGGTAGCTAGGACTATAGGCGCCCACTCAATTTTTTTAAATAACACACTTTGCTTGTTTCCCAAGGGAATTGCACGTCCCAAGGCACAGCAGCATTTGCTGCCACCAGATCAACTCACAAGCTCCTCCAAAACTGTGTTATTCTTGTCCGTCATGGCAACATGTCTCAAATTCTCTGATCTTCAACCACAACCAAGGGCATATTTTGTAGTTGGGGGGATCGCTGTGGTTTGAATGCACCCCTTAAATTTTATGTGTTGGAAACAATCTCCAAGCTACAGGGTTGAGAGGTGAGACCTTTAAGAAGTGATTAGTTCTGAGGGCCTCTGCCCTCATGAGATTATGGTCAGTATCTCACGAGTAAATCTGTGATAAAAACGAGTTTAGCCCCCTTGAAAGCTTGCTCTCTTTCGGTCATGTGATGTCATTCGCTGTGTTATGATTCAGTGAAAGACCCTCAACAGACGCCAGTGCCACACTCTCAGACTCCCCAACCTTCACAACTTTGAGCCAGATAAATTGGAGACCAATTACCCAATCTTGTGTTATTCTGTTACAGCAGCAGAAAATGGACTAAGATAGGAACTTTTAAACGCATTTATTCTTATCTGATGATATGAAAGCCCAAAGAAAGCATTCTTAATCCCCCCCAATTAACACTCTCCAATAACATTTGTAGGCCATGCGAAAGGAAAATAAGCAGGCAACCTAGTCCAGGTTCAATTTTTGGTCACTTCTGATTATAGCATTTGAGTCTAATACTCAGACTTGGCCTCATCTGACCTCAAATATTTGACCCCAGGTTCTAAGCAACCCCATCAGTGGGAAGTCTTTCATGATGTATGCTCAGCTCCACTGGCTTCACTGCTGGTCTATATGACGGGGGTTGAGAAGATGGATAAAGAGAAAATGGAGATTACTGGCTGGTCAGAGTAACTTCCGAGTAAAATACTGAGCTCATTTTCCAGTCTGTGTCTTGGTTCCAAAACCCAGGGTGGGGATTCAAATAGCATTCAAATAAGTGGATTTGTTCCAGTAAGGCATAACCCTAACTGAAATAATCACTTTCACTCACTGTTTCAATCAATTTGCCACTTAAAAAAAATTCATGTGCATAAGCTAAGCAATTTTGGCAGCTTTAAAATGTGACAGCAGTGAGGAAGGCTGTTTTAGCAACCTGTGTTTACATTTATTCTCCATCCAGGGTGGAGCAGGCCAAGGAACAGGGAAAATACAGAGTTCTGAGTCAGGCAGAGATTCAATGAGATTCAGTGTCCTCATCAGTGAAATGGGGATACAATCTCGTAAGGCTGTTATGAGGATTAAACATTTAAAGCTTAGCGTACAACCATGACCTCAACCGTAGCATCCAATACAAGGGTACATAACATCAGGCAGCAAGTTCACCTACACACTTAATTTAAATGAATGTCAAACAATAGCATTGTTATCCCTGAGTTTGTCAATGAACTTGGCTCTAAAAGTTATACCTCCTTGAGTTCAAATATCAAAAGATTTAAATTCATGTTTTATTTGACATACACTCAATTTTGTAATATGTTGCTCCTCTTAAAGCCACAGGAGTTTTCCAGGCTCTTGAAATTTGCTTCCTTCCACTTTAAGATCAAAGGAGTTATGCTGTAATACCGAGAAGGCAGCAATTGCACAAATGAGCTTAAAATGGACCAGAAGAAACAGACACCCCCTTTACCCTGCAGAGTTTGCACTCTCCTTGCAAAACTTAGCTCCTGGCACTTACACTTCAGAAGAGCTTTCGTGGCATTAGTCATCTTCAAAAGGATGGCACACAAACATGACAGAGGACTGTGAATTAAAGCTTGTCAGTGTCTTTAGATATAACCCAAGTGCAGAGGCACTGACAGGACAGAAAACCACGACACGTAGACCCTATTCATGCAAATGCCGATGAAATCTAAACTTCATAAAATGTTCTATTCAATTAATAGCCCACCATAAGGATTCAACCAATTATGAATTAGTAGCAAAATTATCAATAATTTCTAGAGATGTCTTAATAATCCAGGCTCTACAAGAGGGCTGGTGTTTATTCCCACTTGGAGCATAATGACCGGAGGCAGAGGGCCCCCTCAGACCGCGTGTGAATGCAGTCAGACATGTGCTGCCTGCTGCCCCCCTGGTGCCATTTGGCCCTTGACTTGGAGCCCAATAAATTTCAATCCATCAAGTCCTGGCCATCTG